CTGAGGCGAACGAGGTCCCGGAGCTTCCGCTCGCCGTCGGCGCCCAGCCGGCCAGAGCTCCTTTTTGGCGCCTCTTTGGGTGGTGACCGAGGACGGAGAGGAGAGACGGCGGCTCCCGTCGCCTTCTAGAGCAGTCTGGCCTGAGGGGATCCTGGGGGGTAGCCATGCCCCTCCCAACCTCGCAACTAACTGTTGCCGGCAGACTCGGGCGTTCTTCTGCCTAAGACAGTCCTCGGGCAAAGCCTGGCTGCCCCTTCCGTCTCCCTTTTTTTTTGCCGCGATCTGTTCTTCTTCGCCGTTTCTTCTCGTCGTCCCCTATAAGGAAGTGCCAGACTCCGAGCTGTTATTTTCACACAAACAAAGATGCTACGGGAAACAGCGGGGTTTGCCCGAGCCAAAAAAAAAAGCACCACTGAAATGGAGAAATGACCCCCCCCATTCCCACTTCCCCTCGAGTTGCATGTCTTTTGAGGCACTGCAATGGTTTCAGAATGAATTAACTTACTAACCACCACTGTTACGCAGGGGTTTCAAGCTTGTAATTTCTGGATTGTGGGCAAGGATGCAAGCAGGGGAACCCTGCCCAGCGAGAGGAAAGCTTCATCTGTTGAACAGCTGCCGGCCACGCAGCCCGCCCAAGAAGGGCGCTAGAAAAATCGTAGCAGCTCAGAAAAGGGGAAGTGTTTCAAAGGGAGATGGTGGTGGAAAAGGGCATCTCTTAAATGAAATTTCCCAAATGCGTGGGGAGACAATCATTGGATTGATACTCTTCCTTTCCTTCAAGGAATTCAATGTTTTTTTCCTGTCGTTGTGACAACCATGTAAGGTAGGCTAGGTTGAAAGATGAGACAGAGCCAGGGTCACCCACTGAGTTTAATGACTGAGGGGGAAATGGAACCTTGGAGTTCTAGCCAGGCATGTCCAGCAAGTAGGTTTTCATTTTCTTAGGACTGTGAACACATTCGGGTGCCCCCTGACCAACAAAAACACTCTGTTGGTTGACTGATCTTTCCACTTTGGAGGCACCTTTGGGTGCTTCTTGAGGGGAACGAAGGAGCTGTCGACTTCTGCATGGTATTTTCCACAGCGGTATCTAAAACTGGAATAACCTACCATGAGTGGGCCACATTTATTTCATCTATATGTATGTACCCATGAACCAAAGACCGTAACATTCCAGAGATCAAGATAGGAAGGCAGCTGGGCAATCTGCTGAAGACAGAAATAGGCGGTACGGACCACTGGCACTACCTGGGTCTCCATGGTAATCACCGGGTCAAGATGGACCCCCAGACTGTGAACCGAATTCCTTGTGGTGAGAATCAACCCACCAAAAGAGAGGGAGTTCCCCAAACCACTACCATCAGGGCCATCCACCCTTAGGACCTCCGTCTTGTCCGAGTTCAGCCTCAGACCATTCCCCTGCATCCATTTCAGTGCAGCCTCCAGACACTGAAGGGACAAAACGGCATCCACTATTGTTGGTGAAAAGGAGATGTAGAGCTGGGTGTCATCAGCGTACTGATGACACGAAGCGCCACACCCTCTGATGACCTGACCCAGTGGCCTCATGTAGATATTAAACAGCATTGAGGAGATAATTGAGCCTTGCAGAACCCCACAATTAAGATTCCACTGAGCCGATACACTATCCCCAAGCTGTACTCTCTGGGGACAGGCCTCCTGGCTAGCACCAGACCACCCATTCCCAGCTCGGAGAGCCTCCCCAGGAGGATGCCATGGCTGACGGTATCAAAAGTGGCTGAGATATCAAGAAGGACCAACAGAGACGTTTTGCCCCTGTCGGCCTCCCTCAGCAGGTCATCAAACAGGATGACCAATGCCGTTTTCGTACAGTGGCACAGCCTAAAGCCCAACTGAAATGGATCCAGGGCATTGGTTTCATCCAAAAGGGCCTGGAGCTTGTCAGCCACCACCCTCTCTACCACTTTGCTGAGGAAAGAAACATTGGCGACAGGCCTATAATTGCCAATGTCATCCACCGCCAAACTTGGTTTTTTCCTAATGGGCCTAATGAGTGTCTCCGGAGAGATCCATTAATTATTGCAGTGGCCCATTCGATTGTTATAGGACTGGCTGCTTTGATTAGCCAGCCCGGGCAAGGGTCAAGGGAGGAGGAGGAGGCATGACAGCAGTCAAGTGCTTTTCCCACAATATCTGGCATCACAGGCTAAAGAGATTGAGTCTCATCAGGCAAGGCAGAGCGCTGGACATCTCTGTTCGATCTACTGTGTTCAAAAAAGGAGAGAGCTCCTGGCAGATGGCCTCCACTTTAGATTTTTAAAAGGCTTAGTCAGGTGAAATACTAGTAGGAGGCCCATCACTTAGACCAATTCCGGATAGATTGCGGACTATACGGAAAAGTTCCACCTGCTGATTTGAAGCTTCAGGTTTCATCTCCACTTGCACTCTAGCCTTCTCCTACTTTTCTTCATAGCTCGCAGCTGCTGGTTAAACTAGGGTGCTAAATGAGCTCTGCAACAGAGAGGGTGTTTAGGAGCGATCATGTCAACAATCCCTGCTAGCAGTGGCAAGCCAGCCATCAACCAGAGCCTCGACAGGAGCCCCACTCAGATCAGCCAGAATCCCTCTCATGGAGTCCTGGAATTCTATAGGATCCAGTAACCTTTGAGGGCAGACCATTAAAAGTAGGTCCTTGCTCCCTGTGGGGAGGGAGAGCCACTGAAAGATTGCATTTAATTAGGCAGTAATCCAACCTTGACAAGGGGACTGACACAAGGTCAGTCGCCATCAGACCACTCTCACAACTACATTTCAGTTTGGTTTTGTGGTTCAGTCCTTTTTTATATTGCTCTGCGATTTACTGATATGTTTGTTACTCTTATGGCTCTTCTCAATGAGAGCCATACAGTTTCAAAATCTAATTCTTGTAGGGGGCCACAAACCAGAAACAATTCTTCACACACCATTTTATAAGGTTCATTATGCCAAATCAATCCTGATTGGGCCTATATTTCTTTCACATTACATTTATGGCAGCAGCCAAAATAGATTGAGAATGGCTGCTCTAGCATATATTGTTTTATAGGTTTGGATCCAACAGTGTCATCCCTTGCTGGAACTTGTTCCCCCAGCCATCTGTATGCCCAGTTTCAAACAGTGTCATCCCTTGCTGGAACTTGTTCTTCCAGTAGAACTGGGAGGGGTGTTCTACCCTTCCCCCAACCAGCTGTATGCCCAATTTCGAAATTTAAGAAATCCTCCAAATGGTGCAGATCCGTATAGGCTAACACCTGGTGAAGTGGGCTGGAATTACCAGAAGTCTTTGCCAAATAAAACTTGATAGTCTTTAAGCAGCTATAAGACTTTTCATTCTTACCAAACTAGAATACTGTAGCTGCCATTCTATCCCAGAAATCATTTGGTGCAAACATCAGTATGGCATGCTGATCTCACACATTGTTGCTTCTCTATATAGGGAGGTTAAGTGTCATCAGAAGGAAGTAGTTTCAGTGAGCTTAGCATGCTGATATGCTTTCAATACTACTCTGAGAGGGTGAGTAATAATGCTCAGCTCTTCTCCAGCTTCTCCTCACACGCTCCACATATATATACAGTACAGCCCCTCCTCCTGATGTCCCGCCTTCCACTCCCCATAGGATGGAACTTTCCCTCCAAACCCATGACAGACAGGTAACATCAGTGCTGTATGTAACACCTCCCCTCTTTATAAGTTGTTTTGTAGGGGGAAAGCTAAGGTGCTTTTCACC